TAAATGAGAACTACAATCCAGATAAATCTGTGCTCTCCCAGAAGGCGATGAATGCCAGGGAGGAAAATAGAACCAGGGATGGAGGGGGGAGGAGGGGACAGCTTTAAGTGGGGAATCAGGGGAGGCCCACGGAGATGGCGAGCAAAGGCCTGGGGGAGCTCAGGGAGAGAGCATTGGTGATATCAGGGAAGAGCTTTTCAGGCAGGGGAGCCGCCTGTGCAAAGGCCCTGGGGCAGGGAAGGCATGGCATGTTTGAGGGATGAGACTTCCGTCTACTATGTGATAGAAGGGAGTGAGGGATGGAGCTGCAGAGGCAGGTGGGGCCTCATTCCAGTCTGAGGAGGGGCTGAGGCTTGTCCTGGGGTTGCCCTGGGGAGCCTTGGAAAGCTCGGGGCAGGCCAGGGGCAGCTCTGGGCCATGCAGAGGATGGACGGAGGTCGGGAGGAGGCGGAGGCGAGGGTGCAGGGAAAATGGTGTTGTTCCGGGTGTGGGATACTCGGATCGTCACCTTGTGTGTTGCTGGTTTGCCCCTGAGCTTGTCACCAAACAGTGTGTTTTGACCCTGTCCAGCTGCAATGCTATATTCGCTCACTAGGCCACCATAACAAAGGACCCCACCCGAGCCCCTCAAAAGGCAGGAATGGGTTTGTGTCACGTTGTGGTCGCCAGGAGACCAGGCGTGGGCAGGGTCGGCTGGTCCTGGGAGAATCTGTCCCCTGCCCCTCCCCTCACTTCTGGTGGTTTCCTGGCAACCTGCCCAGTTCCTGCGCCTGTAGGACTGTCACCTGATCTGCCTCTGTGTTCACATGGCACTCTCCCCGTGCACACAGGTGCAACTTCCGCCTGGTGTGAGGACGCCCACCCCGTCCCACTGGATTAGGGGCCCAGTGCGACCTCGTCTTAGCTGTGGTGATGCCACCTGCCATGACCCCACACCCAGATGCGGCCACATTCTAAGGGGCCCTGGGGTTAGGGCTTCAGCATACCTTTGGGGGGAGGGCATGCTTCCTCCCATAGCAAGCACATAGAGGTTGACCTCCGCCATGTTCCGGCGGCAGCCTGAGGTTCTGTGGTTTCGGTGGCCTGTTGTTTTTTACACCAAGAAAAGACCCTGATTTCCAGGGCAGGACGGGGCAGGGTAGGGTCGGGTCAGGCCGGCCTCGCTCTCCTCTGGTCCCTGGCGCTGCGGGAGGCCCCAGGAGCCGCGGTTGGTGGCTCCAGTGCCCAACTGGGAGGGCTGTGGACCGAGAGCCAGCTTGGCCGCCTCCCCGGGCCCATTGACACAGGTCCCCGGCCTCCCCTGCCGCGTTTCCCAATCGCGGTTGCACAACTCCCGCCTGCCCGTCTCCGCTCTCCTCCCTGGGCAGCTGGCAAATAGATTCAGATGGTGGGGGCCTGGGCCGCCTGCCTGGCCCCTCAGGTTCCGCCTGACCTCCTGACACATGTCACCTCAAATAACCCTCCCGGCCCAACGAATGGCACGCAGCGACAGGTGAATAGGCCAAAGGTCGTCCTGGGAAAACCAAGTCTCCTAACCCCCCACCTCCACCCCACCCCAACCCTGCTACCTGAATTTCGCACCATTAAGCTTCCTGCTTCTCCTTGTAGAAATACTTCAGATAACTTAGAAAAGATGCACATATTTTTCCCATGATGACTGGCATTCTCTAGCCAAGGGCTGGTGCTCAGCTGAGTTGGTGATTCAAATGTTAAGATGTTTCTCCACCAATTTAAAATGTCCCCCACAGCCTCGCTCCAGGTGGGCCCCGCCCCCTGACCTTCCTCCCAAGACACCTGAGATTCCCAACCAACAGGTGAAAACCATCTGGCATGTCAGCCCCACTTCGGGTCCCAGGCGGCGCAGGGTTAGTCAGCTCATCACCCAGTTCCCGGGGGCTTTGCTCCCCGCTTTTCCCACCAAACGATGCATTTTGGCCATCATTGTGTTTTAGTCCCCGTAGGCGAACTCCAGTCCGTTTTTGTGGCTGTGTAAGTTTTCATTGTTTATAAATATACTAGAGGCCCGGTGCATGAAATTCGTGCATGGTTAAGGTCCCTTGGCCTGGCCGGCGATCAGGGCTGATCTGTGGGGGCGACTGGCGGGGCAGTCGAGGGCCCCCAGTGGCACCCGCCTTGGCTGGCCTGGAGCATGTGGGCTGGGGGCAGCTTCTGCGTTGAGCATCTGCCCCCTGGTGGTGAGTGTATGTCATAGCGACTGGTCGTTTCACTGGTCGGTCAATTTGCCTATTAGGATTTTATTATATAGGATATTTTTTAACTCTCACCTGAGAATATGTGTTTACTGATTTTTAGAGAGAGAGAGAGAGAGGGAGAGAGAAATAGCCATGTGCGGGAGAAACATTGGTTAGCTGCCTCCCATACCTGCTCTGCCTGGGGATTGAACCGGCAACCTTTTGGTGTATGGGATGATGCTCCAACCAACTGAGCCACTGGGCCAGGGCAGCTTTCACTGTTTAGATGAACTATGAGTCTTTTTTCCAAACCCTGTTCCTGGGGGGTAGACCCTTGAGGTGATTACCTCCCACTGCTATTGGACAACCAAAAAGAATGCCTGAATATCCTTGTCCCTCGTCTTCCTGCTCATGTGTGAACAGGCCTGTAGGCTCAGTTCTTAGAGGAGATGGGGGGGACCCAGGGAGAGGTACAGGCTTTGTTTTTATCCTGTTTACATGTTTACCAGCCTTAGTGAGATGTGATTAACCTACCCAGCCGTTCACCTAGTTCAGTGGTCGGCAAACTGCGGCTCGAGAGCCACCTGCGGCTCTTTGGCCCCTTGAGTGTGGCTCTTCCACAAAATACCACGGGCGGGCGCGCAAGTACAGTGCGATTGAAACTTCGTGGCCCATGCGCAGAAGTCGGTATTTTGTGGAAGAGCCACACTGAAGGGGCCAAAGAGCCGCATGTGGCTCGTGAGCCACAGTTTACCGACCACTGACCTAGTTCAAGGGCACAAGCCCATGGCTTTCAGTGTGTTCGCAGAGGTGTGCGTCCATCACCACCGGCGATGTGAGACATTTTCCGTGGCCCAAGGAGGTAATTTGCGCCCTTTGCCGTCACTCTCCCATTTCCTCCTCTAGCCCCTGGCAGCCACTCACCGGCTTCCCGTCTGCGGATTTGCCCATCCTGGGCCGGTCCTGTCAGTGGGATCATAGAGGCCCCTGTGGCTGGCTTGTCACTCAGCAGGAGTGTCCCTGTGCACCCATGAGGTAGCCTGTATCAGCGTCGCTCCTTTTAATTGCTGAATATTTTTGATTATCTTTTTATTATGGGAAATTTCAAACACGTGTGCAAGTAGAGCAGAGGGTAATGACCCCTGGGCACCTGGCATCAGGACCAACAAGTACCCACTTGTGGTTTTTGGGTTTCTCCTTTGACACCCCGCCCCCCCCCACCCCATTAATTTTAATTGTAGAGAATCAACCTCATCGCCGGCCAGTAGGTGGCGCTAGTTCCCACTCCCTGTGCCTGCTCCCTCGCACAACCTTTGTGAGTTTGTTGGTAGATTTTGTGTTTCACTTTAAGGAGTGGAGCCAGCGGGTCACCTTTTCATAGACTGTCCTTTTGACAAAAGGAGACAGAGTTCCAGGGAGGTGGGGCATCTGCCCGGGACTCACCCCATTGTGGCTGCAAGGACAGCCCCGGGTCCTTCCCAGAGAGGCAGGTGGGTACCTCTGGGTCGCCCTTGGGACGCCCAGGGCAGCCTGCTGTAGGTGTGCTATGTGGTCGACTCAAATGCCGGCCGCAGCTTTGCTGTGGGAAGCCAGAGGGTTCTGAAATGCTGGCCAAATCCACATAAAATTCTGAACGAAAGCAACAACAGTCTTTCCTCCGATTACACAGTGCCTCCCCCCTCCTAGAAAATTCACTGTGCATTCAAACCAGACGCTTATGTGTTTATACGTAAAACAGGAGGGATTCTTGTCAGATCACTGCAGACCATTGCTTCACAGATGTGACTGCCCAATGGGGCATTTAGGAGTCACACGGGATGTGGGCAATTTTTTTTTTAATATGTTCTTATTGATTTCAGACAGGAAGGGAGAAAGAGAGATAGAAACATGAATGATGAGAGAGAATCATGGATCAGCTGCCTCCTGCACATCCCCTACTGGGGATCGAGCCCGCAACCTGGTCATGTGCCCTTGACCGGAGTCAAACCTGGGACCCTTCGGTCTGCCGGGCCAATGCTCTATCCACTCAGCCAAACCGGCTGGGGCTGATGTGGGCGATTCTTTGCAGTACAGAGGGGCGTCTGCCTTGTCCCCACCTGCCCACACCCTGGGACACCCAGAAACACTCCACTCCTTGCCTCAATGGCCCCCAACTTTACATCAGCCAAGTCCTACTCATTCCTGAGATGTACACTAGGGGGAAGCATTGCCCACTTTAAATTTTTTAAAATTGGTTTGAGAAACATTGATGTAGAGGGAAACATCTATCAGTTGCCTCCAGCACGTGATCCAACCAGGGATCGAACCCAAAACCTTGGCATGTGCCCTCGCCGGGAATTGAACCGCCACCTTTCAGTGCACGGGACGATGCTCCAACCAACTGAGCCGCACCGGCCGGGGCAGCATTGCCCGCTTTTGGAGCTCTGCACAGACTGGCAAATACAGACGCTCTTAGACTCACACTGCGGTGGCCTCCCAATAAACCCATGGGAAGTTGAAAATGTCATAAATCGAAAATACATCTAACACACCGACTGAACATCACAGCTTAGCCTTGCCAACCCACAGCTGGGCAAACCACCTCACACAAAGCTTTTTTTTTTTTTTTTTTTTTATTGGTTTCAGAGAAGAAGGAAGAGGGAGAAACATCCATGATGAGAGAGAATCATTGATTGGCTGCCTCCTGCACGCCCCCTACGGGGGATCGAGCCCGAAACCCGGGCATGTGCCCTGACCGGAATCGAACCTGGAACCCTTCAGTCCTCAGGCCGACGCTCTATGTGTTAGCCAAACCGGCCAGGGCTGGCACAAAGCTTTTATGCTAAAGTGTCAAATACCTCCTGGAACTTACGTGATTATTTCTGTGGCAACGATGTTGAGTTTCGTCTCGAGTGATTGCCACCCTAACATACCCCTGTGCGTTAGAACCCGTACTCCTGGTGCATTATAACCAGTACTCCTGTGCGTTATAACCAGCACTCCTGGTGCATTATAACCAGTACTCCTGTGCGTTATAACCAGCACTCCTGGTGCGTTATAACCAGCACTTTCTGTGGCAACGATGTTGAGTTTCGTCTCGAGTGATTGCCACCCTAACATACCCCTGTGCGTTAGAACCAGTACTCCTGGTGCGTTATAACCAGTACTCCTGTGCGTTATAACCAGCACTCCTGGTGCATTATAACCAGTACTCCTGATGGGTTATAACCAGTACTCCTGGTGCATTAGAACCAATACTCCTGGTGCGTTATAACCAGCACTCCTGTGTGTTATAACCAGCACTCCTGGTGTGTTTGTGGTCATTCACCGAGGGGTGAACGTTTTGAGTTGCACGGTCCATGCCACTGAGGTCAGCTCTCCTCCCGTGAACCAGTGCCCTTTGGTGGTCTGTTGGGTTTTAGCATTTTTGTGCTTTTGTTGATGGTGGTGAGTGTGTCTGTAACGCCTTCCAGGAGTAGTGCCGGAGCGCTGGCCGCATTCCTGAGCACGCGGCTGGATGCGCCGTGCGGAGAGAGAATCTGTGTTAGATGAGCTTCCCTCGGGCGCGGTGACAGTGCTGCTGGCTGGGAGCTCAGTGTATGAAGTGACAATACACAGGGCGGGGCAAACGCAGCTTGACAGCTGTGAGCACGGGCGCACCGAGTTTGTTCTTGCGTCATCACTTATTAATTAGTGTGTCATTTTCCAGGGGAACAGCTGTAAACCTACTTTTGACCTACCCTGTGTATGAATAAGATGTTTTTATTTTTTAAATATATTTTTATTGACTTCAGAGAGGAAGGGAGAGGGAGAGAGAGAGAAAAACATCAATGATGAGAATCGTTGATCAGCTGCCTCCTGCACGTCCCCTACTGGGGATCCAGCCCGCACCTGGGCATGTGCCCTGAATGGGAATCGAACAGGTGACCTTTGCTTCCTAGGTGGACGCTCAACCACTGCACCACGCCGGCGGGCGGGCAGGGTTTTGAAGCTCCGTGTCTAAGGGGTAGCTAATCTGGAGCCGCGGTGACCTCTCTCTCTGCCCCCTAGCCATGCTGCGGATGGTCTCAGCCGTGCTCCAGTTTGGCAACATCGTCCTGAAACGAGAACGGAACAACGACCAGGCCTCCATGCCTGACAACACAGGTGACGCCCCCTGCCTGCTGCCCACCCACAGAGCACCCCTGCCAAGCGGGCGCTCTCAGATCCCACCCTTGGCTGAGTCTTTTCCAAAATAGCATTTCCCACCGTCTTCCTGGTT